TTAACTGAACTTGAGCAGTTCTGCAAAGAAGAGTGGGCAAATATTGCAAAGTTAGTAGAGACATATCCAGACTAAAGGTTCAACAAAATGCTGACACAATTATTTTTTTTTTCCTGACATGTTGGTGTTATATCTTTCACTTGGAAGAGCTTTCCTGGATCATTTCAGTCCTTGGTAGTTCAACTGAAGCAAACAATCAACTACGGGAGGCAAGGCACTGTCAAAAGATCTCCGGGATAAAGTTGTGGGCAGGCACAAGTCAAAAGATGGATACAAAAACATTTCAAAGGCTGTATCAATGCCTAGAAGCACAGTGAAGTCTATAATTAAGAAGTAGAAGGTATTTGGTACAACACAGACCCCCCCTGGATCAGGACGTAGCTCCAAACTGGATGAAAGAGCCAGGAGGAAACTGCTCAGAGAGGTGACCAAGAGGCCTACAGCAACTCTGAAGCAGCTGCAGGAATTTATGGCAAAGAGTGGTCATTGTGTGCATGTGACAACATCACAAATTCACCACAAATGTGGCTTGTATGGGAGGGTTGCAAGAAAAAAGCCACTGCTCAAGAAAGGTCACAAGTAGTCACGACTGAGCTTTGCCAAAACACACCTTGACTAAAATTGAATTATTTGGCCTCAACACCAAACGATACGCCTGGCGGAAGTCCAATACAGCTCACCATCCAAATAACAGCATTCCTACAGTAAAGCATGGAGGTGGTAATATGCTGTTATGGAGGTGTTTCTCTGCAGCAGGGCTGGAGCACTTGTCAGGATAGAAGGAAAAATGGATGGGGCAAAATACAAAATTCTTGAGGAAAATCTGCTGCCCTCTGCCAGAAAGTTGTCAATGGGAAGAAGGTTTACCTTCCAACATGACAATGTCCTGAAGCACACCGCAAAACTGACCACACAGTGGTTAAACGAGAAAAAGGTGAATGTCCTTGCATGGCCTAGTCGGAGCCCAGACGGGGGTTCTTTTCTATACCCACTGTATTTATCCACATCGGCAACAAAGGATACCTTCTGCTTGCTTAAGTATTTTTCTGTTCCACTACAAGAAATGAAAACTGACAAGACTGGTTCTTGACTGTTCGAAATCATCTGACTGACCAAATGTCCTGACGTTTGCAGTGTGGAGTTCAGTTTGGACAAAACATTCAGATTTTCAGAGACAGTGTTTAGTGCTTTAGGGGCTGGTTAGGACACAGCGTGAGTCTGCATCAAGAGAAGGCATAATTCATAACTCATTAAGGAAATAATACTCGAAAAAGAGACACTTGATTTTTTTTTTTTTTTGAGAAAGTGGTTATTATTTAGTATGATATTCTGTTACATACTCAAGTACAGTCTGCATAACCATTTTCACCTTTTTTTTAGTCACAGATAAAAATAAACTTAAAATATGTTACAAATATAAATTGCTTATACGACAATAAACACAATGTCAAGGAAAAAAAAGAAGAAGAAGAAGACAGGGCTATGGAGTCCTACATTACCTAAAAAATAAAACAATGTCCTGAGACAGTTGTAGTTGTTCTCACCCATTTATCTTTGATCTTGTTCCAAGTGCCAATTACAATGAGAGGGAATAAGAGAGAACTGGAGGAGACTTTGGAGAGAATGGAGATTGAATCACTTGTCAGGGATGGTACAGTACATGCAAGCGAACTGCCATTACTCAGTGCCAGGTGCCCATGCCACCATGGGCTGGGCATAGTTTAATGGAACAGGCCCCATTCATCATGTCAGGTAATGAGTTAGGAGCAAGTGGGCTCCCACTAAAGGTGGATTCATACTTCAAACAAAATTGAAGCCCAGCTCGTTTGCCAAGGTCAGTCGCGGGGCCAATGTGAAAACAAGCTAGAAATCATTTTGAAAAGGCTGTTTTATGGCTTTGTCTGGGCAAAGAAATGTTTCTAACAAGACAAAGGTGAAATAAAACACAGTCACAGTGGCCAAGTTGTTGTTGCTGTTTTTGTTATTTCTACTATTACAGTGCAGTCGAAAGCTTAGTGTTGGATGATTATAAGAGCAAGTGCTCTATGCTAACAAATCCCTTTTTTGAGTTTGCCTAGAGCCTTTTAATTCAAGCTTCAGTAGACGTATAAATCTGTCCTAACAAGGATACTCACCACAGGGGAGGGACAATGCTTATAACAAGAGGGTAATACAAAGAGATGGAAGAGATGTGGTTAAGGTAGAGGGAGGAATGGATAAATGAAAAACAGAGCACAAATGGAGAGAGGAAATCCACATTTCTCTGCAGGACAACTTCCTCTGGCATTGGTGAAAGTTGAGGATGCTGAACTTTGAACTCTGCATGGAAAACACAATACATGCAAAAAGTCTATTTTGGCAATGATATGCAAAGAAATCACAAATTAAAAGATCGCTCCAGGTCTATATTTAACAAGTTAAAGTGCACCATCATACAATCTGAACCGAGAATATCGAACAAATGTGAATAAATGAGACTGCAGAGGACCCAAATTGGCACTAGTAAATTCAGACTTTCGTGCCTGCTTCTGGTCTCTGCCTAACATCCAATTAAAATATTGGATCTGACTAAAAATGTTACACAGTCAGTCACCTGCAGACTCTAACCTGCATTAGGATATATTCTATCAAATACACGACACATATATATTAGCCTATAGTAATGCACAGGTTTAACACCAATATCACAGGAGGAGGGGAATATCACTGGTATAAAAAAAATGTTTTCTTAGGAAAGAGAAAAAAAAATCTATAAATTACACAATTTTGAAGAATATTTCATAAACATTTGACATTAGCGTTGTAAAAATGACGACATCCCTAAGCCCTATATCTCTTCAGAGTCTGAATGGCTGCATTGCTGCTAGTTTCAGTCTTGTGAATGTGATTCTTCAATTTACTTTCATACTGAAAATATTAGTGTGATTTAAACAAAAATCATCTGTTTTTCATTAGTTTTCATAATAAATGGATGAAATCTCTGTATAGTAACTTTTTTTCCTCACGAAAAATTGGCACATTTATCAAAACTGATTCCTAAAAAAAACAATATTTTTACCCAGAAAGATTATGAATTATCTGGTGCCAGTGACTCTGCCAGTCACATAATGTATGTAACTGGAGTCCGACTGGGAAATAACAATGCATGTCAGAGGTGTCTGCACTGACAGTGTGTGGATGCTGTAATTACCCTTAACATGAGTTTAAAATAACCGGTAGAGAGAGCCATGAGAGCCGAGTGCAGCTTCTGTTGTGTGGTGTTGGAAACCATTCAAAAGGCAGTTTTAATTAGAAAAGCAAATCAATGGATTGCATCTCGACCTTTCCTCTCTCTCCTGAGAGAATATATGACAAACACAGTGTGAGGAGAAAGCCTGACTAACAGTGGTTTGTTTAACAGTACTGTGTTCTGCACCACACTATGGCTGTACTGTATACTGTATACGCTTGCATTGGGTGTGCCAACTTAACAGTTTCCCCTAATTTACAAATGTGGAGGATTTCAGTGTGGCATGTACCAGTATGTGAGTCAGTATGACTCCAGACACCCATAAGAGACTGTTTTACATACTGTTGCCTGCAGTGTTATGGACATGGGGGGCAGAAAACATTATGGAAAATGATTGGAAAGATTTCACTAATGGATTTCACATGAAGATAGTCACCATCGTCTATGGCTGTACATCCTCTTCGTATCCAAGAAGACTCCTCACTGGAATCGGGTTACTGTTCACATATAAAAGGCTTCAGGCAAAATCTGTCAAACTGTGAATAAATACATATTTTGCAAATTGTGAAAGATGAACTTTGATACTAAAACTGATACTCTTCTTTGTAAAGTTTTGGACAGTTTTCAAACATCAGACAGCACTGAGATGGTGAGGTAAATGTGGTAGGTCAGTAAGAGAGAGCTCTTAAAGATGACCAGTGGATCTTGAAAAACCACTAAGCTACAGTTCACTAAAATGCTCTTCTACGAGAGGGCTAAAAGCTAAAAGCACAGTGACTTACAAAGAAATCACGAAGAAAACATGTGACATGTTTGAAAACTGAAATGAATGGCATCTCTTTGATTCGCATTTGCTTCACATACCTGCAGATTCACTTAATAAAACCTTTGACTCTGCAAGAGAAACATCTACGAATGTTTGAAGTGTTTACTGTAGATAAAGAGCAATATCTTTCAACCACCTCAGGTACCTTGTGGCACTGGCAGCTCTTACACAGCACAAATGTGTACACACGGTAGCTCTGAAGCTAATATCAGCAGCTTTTTCATGTCGCTACATACATAGGATCTGTAATATATAAAGAGAGGGGGTGATCAGAGATTATACGGCTGATGGTGGGACTGGAAATAAAAAAGAAAAAGGGGCAGGCAGAATCAGTCAAGTCAAGGTTTTGTTCAATCAACAGCAAATAAAGTCCCTTTGCTGATATGCATACAGAATCACGCAGTCCTTTATGGTGCTTTTGGCCTTTTTTCATCAAGAGTGTGTTTGTGCATTGAAAAATCCAATAGCGAGAGATCAAACCGCAGCCAATCATTGATTGTTTGCAGATAGCGAGGTGGACGTGAGCCAGATCAGGGGAGTTAGCATTGTGAGATGTGCTGACATATAAACAGAACCGGTGTAATCATGAAAATAACAAACAAACACCGCTAAATTGGATAGGCCCAATGCACAAAGAGCATGTAGTATATAACTCCTTCAGAGAGGAGTGAGGGTCAAGTGATCCTGTGATGACGTGTCTGGAGCGGTGACGCACATCTTGAGGTTTGCTCTGCGTTCTGTATGCATGTATGTGTGGGTGTGTTTATATGTGAATGCTGAAGGGCTCTCTCTCCGTCCCTTTTCAGCCCTCCTCAGTTTTGTCCCCACTCTTGGGTCTCTGGCACTTGGCAAACGTCCTTAGCCGGCAAGCGATCATCGGACCATAGGGTTTGCATTGTGGCGTGAACGGGATCTTTCCAAACCAGTGCGACGGTTGTCTGTTCAAAGAGAGAACAAGGAAAAGGGACAGTTAGGTGTTTTCACAACAGCAGCAGACAGATATGAGACACACGGGGAGAAACAGGAGTGTGGTTAATGGTTAGAAAGATGACAGGAAATAACAACAGAGACAACAAAGGCAAACTGATTCAAAAGAGAGCAACATAAGATGGTCTGGAGTCAGCTGCTTCTTGTCTGGAGTCATAGTAACACCTCCGAGCTCCTGCTCCAGTCTCGTGTTCGAGAGATCCACCACCTATAACAACACAGCCTGGAGATGTTGGAGAAGAGACACTTAATGGGACGCACCCATACACAAGTGCAAAACAGTGCGTAAACAGCTGCACATACTTATTTAAACACCCACAGGAGGTTTGGGTAGCATTTAAAGAGATATTTCAATCAAAAAATGAAATTATGTCATCATACAACGAATAGGATCCAGTGTTCTTCAGTCCTCGGTTTTCTTTGCAATTCCTTTTGAGTTCCACCGGACAAAGAAAGTCATGATACAGGTTTGAACAACATGAAGGTGAGTAAATGATGACAGAATTGACATTTTTGGGTGAACTGTCCCTTTAATGCTTAAACTATGAGATTCTCTGTTTTAAGCTGATTCTTTTTTTTTTAAACTAAGCCAGTAGGAATATGATGGAGGGAAGTACTAAATGTGCTAGCTGAACTTGGCAACTGAGGCCAGCCCATTATGGGATCACACAAAAGGCCCTTTCCACTCCAAAGATGGTGTAGTGAGGGGCTGGGTGGGGGCCATGTGGCAGGTGGAGTGGACAACCTTCCTCTTTTCCCTGCAGATTTGAGAGCCAACTCCATGCTTAAGCCGCCACACCTTTCCTACCTACCCTGGCATGTCTACCCGTGCAACTGCCATTACTCAGTGCCAGGTGCCCATGCCACCATGGGCTGGGCATAGTTTAATGGAACAGGCCCCATTCATCATGTCAGGTAATGAGTTAGGAGCAAGTGGGCTCCCACTAAAGGTGGATTCATACTTCAAACAAAATTGAAGCCCAGCTCGTTTGCCAAGGTCAGTCGCGGGGCCAATGTGAAAACAAGCTAGAAATCATTTTGAAAAGGCTGTTTTATGGCTTTGTCTGGGCAAAGAAATGTTTCTAACAAGACAAAGGTGAAATAAAACACAGTCACAGTGGCCAAGTTGTTGTTGCTGTTTTTGTTATTTCTACTATTACAGTGCAGTCGAAAGCTTAGTGTTGGATGATTATAAGAGCAAGTGCTCTATGCTAACAAATCCCTTTTTTGAGTTTGCCTAGAGCCTTTTAATTCAAGCTTCAGTAGACGTATAAATCTGTCCTAACAAGGATACTCACCACAGGGGAGGGACAATGCTTATAACAAGAGGGTAATACAAAGAGATGGAAGAGATGTGGTTAAGGTAGAGGGAGGAATGGATAAATGAAAAACAGAGCACAAATGGAGAGAGGAAATCCACATTTCTCTGCAGGACAACTTCCTCTGGCATTGGTGAAAGTTGAGGATGCTGAACTTTGAACTCTGCATGGAAAACACAATATGAGTTGAAATGACAGCTGAGTCTTTCATCCACTTCCACTTCAAAAAGCCAAGCGCCTGAAGGCCTGCAGTCTCTTTCTCTCTGAACTGAATGGGCATGGCACATTGACAGCAGTGATTAAAAAACAAAGAACTTTCTATAACTTGTCAGAGCACTGGCTGTTATTTCAAATTTTATTTACAATTTCTACAAAGGGGTCTCTTTAGCAGGGCTCAACAATAAGCAAGGTGGAATACTGATACATGTAGAGTATAGCTTGAATGCAAAGTAAGCTACTTTGGATAAAAGTGTCTGTCACTATCTACGTATATATGACACTAATATAACAACTATACTACTACTAGTAATACTACTACTAATAAATTGCTAGCAGGGCAAGGCAAGTAAAAATGCAAACTAATAGTCTGTCAGCAGAAAGAAAATCCTTATTGTTGAGCCACCACTCAAACCAGCATTCAAAAAGATTGCTTGGGTTCCTCATGTCATGACAACATACTCAATGTGACACCATGTAGGATGAAGAAGAGGGGAAAAAACAATTTTAAACAGAGGAAGTACCCACACTGAGAGCAAGGGAGTGGATGACAGAAGAAATGGTCAACAAAGGCCAAGTCCAAACACTGCCATTGTTTTGCCAATTGCTTCCAAGATGCCTACTTTGTAAGTATATTGGAAGGTGCCACAAAGACTTGTTGGGACCTGGGAGGGCTAGTGGCAGTTCTTCAAGTTTGGGGTCCAAATTTAAAATGAATGAAAGTATTATGGCTTGTTAATAGAGAGTGGAACATAGGGAGGTTTGGAGCATTTGGCCAGACAGGGAAAATAACGTCTAGAGAGCAATACCTGAGATAATTGCTGGAGCTCGGCAGATTGAAGATGAGATTTAGGTGGGGAAAAAGTCTATGCTTCAACCAAATGGGCAGAAAAGACAAACCGACCACCAAAACTGACCTTCCTCCTTCTCTTAATTTGGGTTGAAAAGCTCTCTAAGTTTATGATCTCAGGCACTTCAGTCTAAAATACCCAATCTACAGCAACAATCACACCAACCGCCAGCGATTTCTATTGGGGTACACATAATGAAGCTATTCTCTAAAGGGTGAGCATTCACTTCCACAATAAAAATACACCACTAGACAATTTCAGGAGAACTGTGCCACTGATCACAAATCTGTCAAGTGCTTTTGGTTTTGATGGCTTTTTTACCTGCTTTTCCCGGAGGCAACGTCTTTAGGTTGGATGCACAAAGAAAAAGAATGGGAGTGAAAAAGATTGATGAAAAAATAAGAACATTTGGTTTTACGCAAGAGAAATATCTGTATTCCAGGACTTAATTAAATGAAGCTACTATTTCTCAGTGCTTAGTGAGTGTTGATGGAGGAGGGGGAGTGAAACGTGATCAAAACGTCATAATATGTTGCAGAAGAGTGGGGGATCATGGGATTAGAACAGACTGGCGAACAACACATTACTAAAAAGCACACAAACACTCACAAAGGACTGAGGAGTCGTCGTAGGCTTGTATGCCTATCCGACACTTTCACTGTATGATTGAGTGATAGGCCCCAGATGGCCCCCTGTGGATTCTTCTAACGAGATTAAATGACATAATGGATTTTACATTACTGTCGTCTGCCTGTAATTACATGAAGTTACATAATCAGGAGAGTCCTTTGGCACAAGGTTTGCTCCATGAATAACAAATAAGCTTCAATCAACAGTCGAGTAGTAACTATGTGAATAAACAGGTAATTATGACAGTGAATAATTTACATGCTTGATGCAATTCAAATATTCAATATGTATGCAATAAATATTAAATGCACAGAGGCAAATATTTTCAAATAAACACTTCTTGGTTATGCATCTGTTGTTTTGGATAAACCTCTGTGCCAAGAAAAAACACACACGCACACGTACGCATACCGTAATGTGCAAACGTGTATCACTTCATATTTTTTCAGCGACAAAATGTAATAAAGGTGATTAAATCTGTGAAGGCCATATGTCAACACACAATGTTTACCGCTTGTGGGCCATAGAGGGAGGCGAGGCAGAGAGAGAGTGAGAAAGAGGGAACACACTACAGCAGTAGCAGCTATCTACTCTTCTCATCTTCAGCATACCTTTGCCAGACTCGAGCTCCATGGGTAATGGAGCACCAGCACCAGAATCAGGAAATATAAAGAGGTTGTGATGGTGGGGAGGGTTATTTCTTTATTTGTAAGTTATGGGGCTTGGAGAGTAAAACCTACAGTTGCACAAACCAAGGTTTCCTGCAAAGCTGAGAGTAACTGTTTTGAGGAAGCAGCGGAGTAAGTTGGGAAGGTTACTTCAGCTGCAGAAAAGGAGAATGGAAGGTCAGAGGCGTGCCTGACCCTGAGACAGCTGAAAAGGGTGCTTTAAAGCCTTGGAACCTTGATCTGTTGTGGCATGAAGGTAAAAACTAAAACATAAGTGGACATATGTGTTATGGTAAAAAGTATTTTTGCATGTTGGCTTGCTTGCTCAAGAAAAAAAAACTGTATCGTAGAACATATGGAAGCAGAATTAGTTTCAGATCATTTCGATGAAACTTTGAGTACAAACATCTAAATAACCAGCGAAAAATTTAAGGGGGTCTGAATACTTTCCGTACCCACTGTACATACACACACATACATGACACACAACAGGGTCTAATTTGAGGTTGTTTGTCACATCAAGCTATGTGTGTTAGTGTGTTTAAAAAAAAATAAACATCTGTATCTTAATCAAATGCAGAACCCTGGGCATGAGTCATTTCAATGTGAGAAAAAAGAAAAATAAATGTTGTTCAACACTGTAAAAAAGCAGGAAATAATAATTATTTGCTAATGAAAATGCTGTGTTAAAAAAAAAATATTGTGTATACTTTGGAGTGTAAGATCCTTTTAATGTCCCATCAATGTTGTGTTTGTGGAGAGAGAAAAAAAAGCTACAAATGTCCAACCACAAGTAACTTTAATAAACACACAAGGATAATGTTTACTCAAAAATGTCTAACAAAGATCAAACCATGAACTTCATCCTTCTGAAAAGTAGATTATTTACTATATAATGAAAGGACTGGGGCTAAAAAGCACCATGAATATGGTTCATATGATTTGTGCACTATATTTCTTCTTCTAAAGTCATACAGTATCTTTGAGGAAAACAATGAAAATCAATAATAAGTCAATGTTGACGAATAATCTTGACATCCTTGGCATGTTCATGAGAGTGATAAGTAGTGATACCTGATTTGCAAATGAATTGTTCTTTGGAGTCTTATCTTTTAAATAAATTGGGTGATTCGGTTTACAAAAACAGTCTATTAGATTTATTAACAAATTAAGACTGATCCAGTTTTCAAGGTCAACTCATTGATTCTGTCATACTCTAGAACATTATCAGTAAATACTGAACATTTCACTCACAGGCACTCATACAAAGCTATTGTAGGATTTCAGAAGTCAAAAGTACAAAAGTCATTTGGACCACTTTTATGATACCTTTAATGCCACTTATGCATCATTTTTTAGCTTGAATGCTCCAGCCCCCATTCATCATAACTGTATGTAAAAGAAAAAACAACCTCATTATTCAAAATTTCTCCTTTTGTGAAAAGAAAGTCATATGGATTTGGAATGACACGACGGAGAAAACGCTGACAGTATTTTCTTTTTGGGATGAACTAATCCTTTAAGTACTGGCTGATATCCTGGTTCGTTTTCCACATTGAGATGTGAGCTCTTAAGTGCATTCTCTACCCAAACTAAAGCAAGAGAGACACCAGAAACACACGTTAGACAATACTCTGAAATCCTGCTTTAAGCAACTGCGCTCTGCTGAAATTACGGATGTTTAGAGCAAGCGCGGGGCATTTGTCAAACTCAGCCACCGCAGTTCCACTAGCAGAGTGTGCAAACATGAGCTTTCCTCATCAAACTAGGATGGATGAGAGCTCAGATAAGCTGGAGGTCTGGTCTGCATTCTCCCTAAATCTCTCTCAGAGCCATTTCTAAACAAAGATGGGAGATGTGTAATGTAAGGGAAACAGGTCAATTTAGCTCAAAGGGAATCATTTAATCTTTTGTTTAAATGCTGTGAGCTACTCAAAGCTGCTAGTTGGTTCAGGTTTGTGGGGCCAAGATCTGATTTATGAACATCCTGTGTCTTGGGCCTCTGTGGAATTCGGCTTCTCATGTTCCAACCATGTTTTGACCAAATCTTAGATCGTCTGACTCGGTCTGATACCCTACAGTAACGTCTAATCTGATAGTCTGTTAAGACTCAGACTAATGAAAATAATGAAGTAAAGCAGCAATTAAAATATGCCAAAACTGGTCAGCACAGATCTGAGTTTTCCCCTTTCATCTAATATGGCTTTCAATCAAAGCCAAGCTCCATTTAGACGCTAGCTACCTTGGATATGTGACCCAGATATTCGATACCAGCATTGCCCTTCACTTTCCACAGTTTCTACCTTAAAGAGTGCATTAAAGTTTCAAGCTCTCGATAATGATCGAGGTCCACAGCCTTAGTTAAAAGGTGACGTCTTAGCAGATTTCTGCGAAAGCTTGCTAGCCTGTTGCCCCCCAGCACTCTGCATTGTCCTGCTCAGCTGCACTTTCTCAGCTGGTCAGAGCTGAAAGAAGAGCCAGGCCTTAGAGTAATGTTTCTTGACAGCTCGGCACACAATAAGGCACAGGAGAGCTTGAAATCACTACACATGTCGATAAACAAATGCTTATTTTTAGAGGAGAGAGTGAGGCACTAGTTTATCTCTGCAGCAGGAAGGCTCTGACAGATCTGTTCCCGGGACAAACAAGGGAAAGGATGAGGAACTACGGTTGGTGTCCAGTGCGGCAGGTCTAGTATCTTTTCCTTTTTCAGGCACAGCAGTAGGACCATGTTTGACGGGATATCAAACGGCTGACGGTCACAGTTGCCAAGATTTCTCACTGGGATCCTCAATACGGACAAGACAGTCTCTGAGTTGTGGACCAGCTTGGTTTTCAAAAGAGATGGCAGAATTTAAGATCTAAAACAAAAATAAACTTAAAAGAAGGGAGCAGGGAAGCAAAGGCACACACATGTATCAAACCATCAGATGAGAAATACTTTCCAATTGATCGCAGCCCAAGGCTAATCTGCAGTGCTAATCATCCCCTCTGCAGCCCTGTAGGGAGGCAGACTTCAGCAGTAAAACAGGAATGCACTTATGCAGTAATAGAAATACAGCTTGCGCTTTCCATCCTTTTACCAAAAAAACCTTGAATGTGTTGACCTACTTTATGTACAAGCCATCGGTGTGTATACGTCCTAAAAAGAAGCCATTTAAACCAGGCTAAAACACTAAAGCTCAATTAAATATATGTAAATTCATGCAGTTGACAAAATAGTAACTTAAAAATCTAAATGACTGTTTATTAACCACTATTAACAAAAGACATGAACTAACCTGACAGATTACTATCATTCAATGAAAAAAAGAAAATAAATACATAAATAAGTAACACAATTTAACCTCAAAAGCTGAAGTGCATTAAGAAATTGAGATGCTAAAAATTGTAATTCTTGGTGCACTGTGTTAGCATCATGGCTAAAACATGAGGGACAGATGAGGCCTCTGGCAGGAACATTGCCCCCCAAGTTCAACTCAGGAAAGGTGAGTGGCTAATCTGTTAGGACCATGTGCGCTAGGCCCCAAAGCGCCATACTGATCCTTCTAAATTGACAGTGACCCAGCAGAGATCTGGCTTGCCAGTGGAATGAGCATTTGGATGGGTTCCTATTAAAGGCCAGGCAGGGTTGGGTTTCCTGAACAATGACCCATGTCTCGACATACAACATTATAAGCACAAAAGAAAATGCCATTTATCCATAACACGCAAGTCTGAATGAACTATCAGCTGTGATTATGCTTGTACTTGGAGGTGGACGCATGAATCAGAAGTTAAGACAAGCTTAACCAAACCAATGCTATTGCCCAGCTAAAGAAAACGGCACAGTTAGGGAGAAGCTTTGATTGACAGTGGGGTGAGTAGACAGAGACGATAGTTAGACAAATGGATACCACGATATTGTTTGACAGACAGATGGAAGCGTAAATGGATGGTTTGGCAGCATGATAAGGTAAATAGACTGATGGATAACTAAACAAATAGAGGAAGAAAATGGCTGGTGTGGTTGCAAAGAAAAAAAAAAACTTCTATGATGGGGAAA